GTCCTTGGGGGTGGGCTCTGTCACGAATTCAGTCCATGGACTTCCATTTATTCACCACCAGAGGTCACCCTTTCCATTTCATTGACTCTTGCACAACACAAACTGTTGCATAGCACCCCGGACTACATATCCCATCATTCTTTGCACGATTTGCACACTGCACTGATTGCACACAGCTGTTTCTAATCACCTCACTCACTATATAACACCCACTCTAACCACATTTCTGGGCTGAATATTGTTTACCCTGTACCCCTTTCCGAGTCTCCGTGTTTTCCTTGTTTTGCCTTGCCTGTTTTTGATCTTTGCCTGTTTTCTTGGATTTCTCCCTCTCGTCTCGCCCCTGTGATTCTGTCTGCTTAACGGTGACCTACGCTAGCCCTGTGACTATTCTTGTGTTTTGCCCGCCATATACCTGTTTGCCAGTGTTTTGACCCTGCCTGTTTACCACGTCTCTTAAATAAAGCCTGCAGATGGATCCACATGTCTCACGTCTCGTCAGCCCCGTTACAATTACAGTCTGAACTGGCCTTAAAAAATTTAAATCTGTAGTCATTTGAAATTAGAGGCAACCACTGCATTTCACAGTCCAATCACAGTCCAAAGATGCTACATATATGTAGCATGAGCAGTTCTTTTTTTAATTTAAATTAGATTGTACAATTACAAGAATTAAAGCAAACAGAGTGGTCTGACTTTAGCTTTGGGAATTTATGATAAAAATACTAATTCACTCTCTGCCAGTAGGTGGCGCTTATGGAACAGCTGCAATATAGCGTTTCCTTGGTCATCCAAAATTCAATGTTTAGAATTTTATTCCAATATTTTGAGCATCATGAACCGTGAGCTTGCTTTGCCTGCACAGTATTTTCTCTGCTGTCTGTTCTCTCCTCATTATCGTGTCTTGTCTCTGGCCTCTGTTCAAGTCCGCGTGAACCTGAAGTTACTTCCGTATTGTGACATACTTCCGAGAGAAACAGAATATTGAATGAAAAAAAACAGAGGGGGTGGCTTGTTTTTTTTTTTTACTGCGAACACAATAATAATTAATTTGTTTGTGGCAGACAGGAATATTATTTCGGTGTCTAAACCTATAAAACAAGGCTCATTAAAGGATTAAAGGAATTCCTCAGCATTTCTAAGAAAAGTCACCTGAATGTGTCAGAAGTCCTAAAAAACCCAAAAGACACCAGAATCAAAATGAATTTTTTTCAGTGTTTTCGTTTTGAACCAATGGCTGTGCAATTCAAGCATATTTTGAATATTTGTATCATTTTATACCTGTATCGCATAATAAGCTGTAGAATGATCGCGTGTCCCTGTCACGTTCACAATAAACTGAAATGTCAACACTACTATCAGGTGCACATAATAATTTTACATGAAAGTTTCAAATGGCACTTGGTTGTATCAGGCCAAACGGAAGAAAACCTACTCAGTTGTGCTCTGCAGGCGGAAATAACAAACCCGCTGCTCACTAGCAGAGAAAGAGGAAACCACAGTTTCGCTCTTCCCACGTAAAGAAAGCAACAAACCCAGCAGCTCCAGCAAACACCCTCCCCCTCTCTCTCTCACACACTTATAAATACACAATGCTTGCACTTCATAATATGCAGAGGTGGCTTTGTGTTCAGTTTATGGCCTGGTCACCGGTCTAGAAACCAAGATGCCAGATGAGGCCGACCAGTAAAGAAACATCAAGTGGCGTCGATCTTGCTAAAGTAGTCTGGAAATGATGTGCCTTTGTGGTTTGCCTCTTGCCGGAAATGAGTCTCATTTGATCCCTCCCACCAGAGTCTCACAACAGCGAAACCTGAGTGAAATTTACGCAGCTCTTCACATCAACATGAACAAATTATTAACCTTTCTTCTTAAATAACTTCAGGTAACACCTCTCAGTTGTCTTTATTAGAAGCGTAAAATGAAAAATATCTCGTAGCTGCCATTTCAGAGAACAGGCCAATGGAAGTAATGTGACTTCGAATATACATTTTGTGACTGAGGCGTTGTATGTTTCATGTTTGTCTGCTTGTTTGTACTCGTATTATTGTATTATTGGAATATAATCAGATGTATTTCTGTAATAGGATGTTCCACTACAATATTTAACAGCCAATGACATTATCGAAACCAAATTAAACGTGTGTAAACTAGCCTTTTAATTTAAAATACTTTATGTATATCAAATTCTTTACTGTTAATGGCTTAATATTGGAAATCTAGGGAAAACACCCTTGATTTAGTTTGTTACGGAAAGTACAGCTCGTCAACATGAGAAGGATGAGCTCACTTCAATCAAGCATATGACCACCACAGTTCCAAGAACTGGTGTTAACAATAATCCACTGCTTTACAGTACAATGCTACTGCCTTCTGCTTTGTCTATTGCTTGCAGTAGCCTTCAAATTCTTTTGAGATCAAGTTTGCTGTATTTATGTTTGGGGTCTCTGAGACCCAAATGATCTATGTCTAAAAATAAAAATAATAATTGCTAAATAAATTATTCAAATTCACTTTTGACTTAATTAAAGCTCATTTGACTATTTAAATGACACCCTCTGTTGAATCCCAAAGTGCATACACTTTTTCTAAAATTGGAATGGTGTCTAAAATAGAAATATTGCTTCTGCTTAAGGTCAGTTTTTTTTATAACCGGGGCCTCTGAGAAGAAATGTAACATTTTTGTTTTTATTCTTATTTAGGATGTGTGATAAAGTGGACATTTTATTAATAATCAGTCATAAGTTTAGCAAAAGTCAACCAAATACCTTAATGATGTTTATGTAAATGTTGAAAGGGTTTTTTATAAAGCCCCAAACAGAACATCAGAGTTCATTTAAAACTTTACAATAGCTTCTAACATCAAAATAATTAGCTTTTTATCAGAAAGAACCATTTGACTAATTTTAATTACATCCTATTTTGAGTTACATGCATTATTTTGGAAAGAAAGAACGGTCAATGAACACCTGCATCTGCTGAGATGAAATTATCTATAGTCCTTTCCATCCAATCAGAAGATTACTTCGGTGAGAAGATCATGAGTGAAGAGGAAGAGGTGCCCTTGATGAAGAGTGAAAGGGCTGGCAGTCAACTGTTGCATAGCACCCCGGACTACATATCCCATCATTCTTTGCACGATTTGCACACTGCACTGATTGCACACAGCTGTTTCTAATCACCTCACTCACTATATAACACCCACTCTAACCACATTTCTGGGCTGAGTATTGTTTACCCTGTACCCCTTTCCGAGTCTCCGTGTTTTCCTTGTTTTGCCTTGCCTGTTTTTGATCTTTGCCTGTTTTCTTGGATTTCTCCCTCTCGTCTCGCCCCTGTGATTCTGTCTGCTTAACGGTGACCTACGCTAGCCCTGTGACTATTCTTGTGTTTTACCCGCCATATACCTGTTTGCCAGTGTTTTGACCCTGCCTGTTTACCACGTCTCTTAAATAAAGCCTGCAGATGGATCCACATGTCTCACGTCTTGTCAGCCCCGTAACAAATGGAGATGAAATTACAAGGGAAAAGTGTCAAGAACTCAGAAATTTGACATGTCAAACACTGACATTAACAAACAGGAAAATGTTTAATTTTGCAGGTACAAACGGGTAAATAATGTACTTATTGTGCGTTTTTCTTACAGTAAAATTTAGCTGCATTAAACATTGTTTATTAATTATCTGAGGTATTAAAACTGAAGAATCACATCAGAGTCTATTTGACATGCTTCTGTTTTTCAAACAAAAACCTAATAATCCACAGATAATATGAATGCAACAAACAAGTATTGCGAATTACTGTAACAACTTATTTTAACCATATCTCAAAATAATTGCCAAAAAAGGAGGTTTGTATATTTTTAAGTTAACTTTAAAGTTCGACGGACAAAGTGATGCAGGGCAACAGGATGTGGCTGTTTTCTTGTGCTTGCCTGTATCTACAGTCAGGATGTGTTCACTCTGTCTGTACCAAGTCAAGGTGGCTCTCAGCTTTTTAAATCTCTGAGTACAGAGAGTCTGCCATAGTGTACTGTATTATTAGGGACAGATAGCAGTGACTTCTGTTCTGTTTGTGTTTTTCTATTAAAGTGATGTAGCTGTTTCATTTGTGCTGTAATTTGATGGTACAAAATGTTGTACCTCAGATCAGGTGATGTGTGTCTTCCCTGAAAATTTACTGGTTCTTCCATAGACTGGTTACTCTTCATGGACACACAGCTGGGCTCTGATGAGTTTGATCTGTCCCCCTGAAATTGACTTTAATAGAAAAGCGACATTGGAAATGAGATAATATAGTAGACACAAGAATCCAACTGGTTGATTTTACATGGAAATGAATTTCACACGAGAATGTTGTCTATCCAAACAATAAAAATGCAGAAAAAGTCAACAGATCACTACACCAACCCTGACAAACACCCTAAACACCCTGGTTATGTGGTGCACAATGTATCTTCTATTTAGCATAAAGATCATACAAAGACTTTGACTTACCTGCATCCTGGAGAAAAATCTCCATCTCTGAATGATTGCATGTCCTCCATGATTCATTCAGTCTTCATGTATTGGATTTCTGATTTCTAATCAGTAATTAACAACATTTCACTTCTGGTTTAATTAGATATGCACTGATGTTATTGAACATTAAGAACTGGCATCATCTGAATCAGCAGATTTTATTTTTAAGATATATGTCCAAAGATAATTAAGACAATAATTGATAAGATAAAAAATGCATAAAGTAGCTACTTCATGTTTAAGTTACATTAAGCATTTCATGGTTACTTACTTTATTGAGGATATTTTTGTCATGCTCCTGAACACCCACTCAAAGTTTTCCCATCAGCATCACGTAAATCCCTACATTACATACATATGCAAAAATCATTGGATACTTGGAATGATCAATATTTCTTAGTTAAAGACTCTTAAACACGAGTGTAAAATGGCGGAGCAGATAAAGCACAATGCAGGCTACTTTCACTTTCATTTTTAGTAGCACAATGTGTTCGATCAGCTTTAGAACGATGTTTGGTATTTTATAACTCTTAAGAAAAATTGCACTGCATGTCAGATGATGCAGGCCTATATAACAAATCGAAACGCATGTGTTTATACTTTGTTTTGTGATTTTAGTACGGATAAATTAAGCAGCAGAGTGGTGCGCATGCTCTGTGAACGAGAGGAAGCTGCTGCTGGTAACCACTGCAACTCTTCAGCAGGACATTAAAAACAGCACATTACTGCACAGTAACTCTCCTGTCCCACTGTCAGTGACGCTTGTGCGTATTATATACTACAAACCTGTTAATAAAGAATAACAATTTGGTCCCTCAGTAAATTCTCT